TTATACCATTTGTAAGAGAAAAATTTTGAATAAAAATATGTTAAAAACATTTGACTAGTTTTAGGAAATAAATGTGAAATCTATTTGTTTACAAAAAAAATGAAGAAGAAAAGAAAGAAAATATGACATGAGGTCTGAAATCTATTTGTTTCAGTTTTCAAAAAAACTTTTTGCTGTAAAATTAACAACAAAATAGTTAAAAAAAAAAAAAAAAAAAAAAAAAAAAAAATGCCATTTTCGTCTTAATGTTAAATTTTATAAAGTCAGATTTTTTGTAAGGGTATTCTAGTAAGCCAAAAAAAAAAATTTTGTAGGCAAGAAAAATGAATAAAGATTTTTTTTTTTTATCTAGGGAATGCACCTAAATTAGATATTAAAAATTAAAATAGTTAATTTTACTTTTAAAATTTGTATATTTCCAGCTATGCAGGTCTCTAGTGTAAAATTAAAAATAAAATTGTTTTTCTACAAATAAAATGATGTTTCTATCTAGTGAATACACCTAAAATTAAATATTAAAAAAATAAATAAGTTTTAATCTCTGGTTTAAAATGTGTATATTTTCAAAACTGCAAGTCATTTTTCTTAAAACCAAAGTAAAAATTATTCTTTTTTAACCACTATAGTTCGGTGGGTGCTCTGCCTAAAAAATTCTTCTAAACAAGGAAAATTAATTCATTTTATTTTTACAAATATCTTTATGGTTTTATCTAGTGAATACACTTGAGTAAGATTAGATTAAAATAGTTTTTAATTTCAGTTTTAAAATGTGTATCTAAAAAGAAGAGGTGATAATCGCAGATTTGGAAATCTACACATTCTAAAAATGAAATTAAATGCTTTTAATTATTTTTGTGTATTCACTAGATAAACATAAATTTATTTATGTGAAAAAATAACTCATTGATTTTCCTTGTTTAGAAGAAATTTATTTGCAAAACCCCAATAACAGTTGATTGGCATACCAGAAAAGAATTGCCATATTTTTAAAAACATGAGGGGTATCATTTTTTTAAAGCCATATCATAAACTAATTTCTGGAGAGCTATACTATTTTCTCTCTTAAATGTGTTGTCCAAAGACACAAAAATATAGATAGTTTATATGACGATTTCTTTTGTATTTTACCAATTTGTTAATAAATATGGTAGTTATGTATAGTTGACAGTTTATATAAACTTTAATCGAAAACAAGTGTCTGTCGATGTCAGACACTGCTTTATAATTTTTGGAGGAATTCGCTTCCACAGGTCAGAAGAAATGAACATCTTCCTGGTTGTAGTTTAAGGTGTCTTCTTGAGTGTACAATTTCAAGAATATTGATAAAGATTGGTCACTTTGATTTTGCAAATCAAAGTAAATGTAAAATTTAGTCTGGGTGCAGGGGAATCATATTTCGTATTTTCGGCTGTTCAAGATACTCACTGTAAAAAAAAAAAAATAATTCAATGACTAAAAGCACATACAAATTCCATATTTAGAAAGATTATTTTCTTTCCAGCCATATGAATATTTTTAAGATTGTACCAGAAAGGCACAATAAATTGCGAGTTGAGCGGACTAAGTTGCAAATTTATCAATCTCAAATGAAATCAGATATTGACTGGAAATGCTATCATTACACAAGAAAATGAATGGTTTCCTTAAAAAGCAAAAATGCTAAATTAAAAACCAAATCAAAAACTGCAGTATCAAGAAAAAAAAAAAACGAAAACCAATACTGAAACATAAATTGCTAAACCGCTCAACTCTAATTCTGATCTGTGTCATGATTGGTCATTTTCTTACTCATACTAGCAGTCAGATTTTGAAACTGGGTGGAGTTCAGTATTTTCAATGGTGATTTTTCAAGGCTAGTTTTCCACTTTGCATCATTTAGCTTTGGTCCTAAAATATCAATAATATATGCTTTTTCCTAATTCTATGCACATAATTATTTAGAAAATCTGAGGTGTAAAACTGGCACCATTCGTAATGTTAAATTTTTTTTTTTTTTACCAATTGAAAATTTAGGCAATAATTCCAAGGGATGTAGCTATACTAAATATTTGTGGAATCTGATATTGGTTGAAATGTGGACTTTGATTTTTGAAATATATTTTCCAAGGTGGTTGTTGAAGCCAAAGTGAAAACCAGGATTTGGATACTGATTTTTCTAGGCAAGTTCTCACTTGGAAGTATGATGTAATTCAGTTTTCTTCTCCCTTGTACAAAAAGCTTCATATCATTTATGTATTTCTTTTATAAATATAAATGACAATAGGAAAACTGTAATAGTTGCCGACGCATTTCATCCAATGTAGAAATTAAAGAAAAACTCTGATTTTAATTTAAGTATATTAATAAGGAATTTTGGAATAACTCCTGTAGAGTGATAAAGCCTTTTTTTTTTTTTTTTTTTTTTTTTTTTTTCATTTCATACTAAGCAAGGCAATAAAACCACTAAGATGCAAGAGATGACAGTGTGAGAGAATATAAAAAAACATTAAGGAGAGAGAACAATAAAAGAACAGGAATTAAGAAGACAGAAGATAACAATTGACATTGCATTTAAATTTGCAATAAGCTGGAAGAGTGTTCCATAAGTGAGAAGTGCAAGAGAAGAAACTGTTAGCATAGAACTTGCAGTTGCATCTGGCCATTTCAACTGTACAATGATAAAACCTTGTCTAGTACTGTGCTTAAATTTATAAAGTCTAGGTACAAAAGAGGAAAGGTGATTGAAACAATTAACCTGAAAGTATTTATAGAAAAGGCACAGAGAAGCTACGTTATGGCGGTGGGAAAGTGACTGAAGCCGAGATGCCAGGTCAGGATTTTGTTCTTTAAATTATAACAGGTAGGTTCTATTGATGACTATATAGTGAAGGTAAATTCATTTGTCAATAGATTCTTGTAGAAAACCTGGCAGACAATGTTTACAGTTTCAGGTTATGTTTTGGTGGTGTGCTGAACAGAAAACAACACTGAGCAGGTGGGTAGGAGGATGGACAGAAGGGTTGTGTAGAGAGGGTTATAAAAGAAAGGTCACAGTTGGTCAGAGAGATTTCTCTTTCTCTCACCCACTCCTCTACATTAGCTAAATGGGAAATAAGTAAGTAGGTAGGTAGATAGATAGCTGTGTAGGTATATTGATTCATCTATATAGATGAACACAGATATTTGCAAATCTGAGCAGGTAACAAGTTTTTCCAACCTGTTAATTGGTTTTGTTTGACCACATCAAGGTGTCATGGCTGGGCATCTGTTTAAAGATGACACAGATTGAATCTACAAAATGGGCCAATAGATTATGCTCCTGTTTCTTAAGAATTGGTGAAACCTTGCTACTATAAATATCAACTTTACTGGTACGGACTACTGTGGCTCATCTAGTAAAGATATTAGTTTGTTAATTAGTAGGCCACATTTTGGGGCTCATCATAAGAAGCCTAATGGTGACAAGCTTCTTCCTTTCCTAAAACAACCAATGTGATAAAATTTTAAATATCAGTATAAAGTTAAATTATTAGTAACATTAGCAACATAACTGCTATTCGTACCATCGGCTTCTCCTCCCTCTCCTTTTGTCATCTCAGTGCTGCTGCTGCTGCTAACAGTTCACTGTACATCAGTACTTTAACTGGTGAGTGTGCGTGGGGTAGATCAGTGGTGAGTTGATACAGTGTCAGCTTGCAATATATTAGTAGTGGTAGGAAGGGGCAGTAGTACATTCTGTTGTTGTTGCTGCTGCTGCTATTTTTATTTAACTATCTATATACCTACCTCTCCTCACTTACTAAACTGGCTGGCTTTCTTTGTATGTGCACACGCATGCGTGCATCTGTACCTATCTGACAAAAATGGTTATCTTCCTTTTTTTGTATTTTAGAGAGAAAAAAAAAGTGTTGGGGGGTTCCATTCCTTTTTGTTTCCTTCCTTCCTTCTTATTTTAGTTGAGAATGCCAGGAATTTTTCCCCGTTTTATTTTTGATTTGAATCAAACCAAATTGGGAATATTTAAATTTTGTGTGTTTAGATACCAATTTAATTTCTTATAGAATGCTTTATTTTTTTTTTTTTTTTTTTTTTTTTTTTTTTTTTTAAAATTTCTTGTAAGCATTTGTTTGTAAAGAACATCAGGTTCACACCTTTCCAGTCTTTTGAACAGGAGTAGAGATTTATCCCTTGTTTCTTCTTTAGGACAGGATTTCCGGTTCCTTCTAAAGTCTTTTGCTTTTCTTTCACTTCCAGTGGCCTCCTAGGTTTTGGTGGTATTATCACTTTGCTTGGGATGGTACCTCTTACCCTTTAACCCTCTACCTCAAGTGACTCTTGCATCTCATACAGAGTGAACATCATTGTTGTTTTTTGGGTTTTTTTTTTAATGTAAACAGGTTGTGAGATCAAAGAAGCCATTATAACTCTTTATCCCTGATACTCCAAGAAAGATTTATATTTGTTTGCACAGTATTAAAGGGATTCATCCATGCACCCACATACACAGGATTTGACACAAGGTCAACTTTCAAGGGGAACTTCAGTAGTAGCCATTCATTGTTCAAGCCCCTTTGACACTTTCCCTTTGGAGGCATAATGACCTTTGTGCCTCCACCCCCAAAGGAGTACTTTTGTATAAGTGTGGGTACGGTTCCCTTAATCTCGAACTAATATTAATCTAGACACTCTCTGCCAGTATTGATGATGAGTACTTGTTGAACTATAATCAATCTTACAATGTTATTATTGAAAATTATAGTAATGTTATCATTTTAACTTTTTGCAGTAAGAGAAGTTAAACTTGTATGGTTAACTTTGATTTCACAGATGACCTGAAGTCTTTCAAAGGTATCATATATATTTTAGAGTACCCTCTCCTCTTCAAAGCTTTGATTATTTTCAATAAAGTCAGATTTCCCTATTCAAGATAACTTAGTTTATCAAGGGTTACTTTCTTGGAAGAATGGATGATAAATATTGTTCTCTTTAGTCTCATCATTTGTTTGTTTTAGTGGCTTATACCCATATCACATTGAAGCACTGGTCCCCATACAATCATCAAAGTTAAGCAACATGGAACCTAGTTAGTACCTAGATGGGTGACTGCTTGGGAATACTAGGTGTTGTAAGCTTGGATGTGTGAGTGGTGTAATCGATGACAGTTTGGAATTTTTAATTTAAAAGCTGAGTTTCAATTCCAGCTGTGTCCATTATATTCACTTACATGCAAATACCCTTGGGAAAAAGTAAAACTGTCTCTTCTCCCTCCAGCTATGGGTTAATTAGTAAGACTTGTATCACTAAACCATTATTATCTTAAAAAAAAAAATACTTTTGGCTTTAAATAACCTGCAAAGGGTTGATAAGCCATAGAAAATGAATGAATCAATCAATCAATTGATCAATGAAATACTTATTAGCTAGACAGGCATGTCTTTTAGATTTATTTACATTTTCTGGGATATAAATGTATAGAAACTATCTTGCCCACAAAGTGAGGGATCAGTTTATATATTGATTGCAATATAGAATTGACCCCCCCAATGTTATATATCCACATAATTTCTTGTTTGTTTTATCAGATTCTGACGAGGCATTGATCCACTTCTTCTTAATTTATCTATGGTTTAATTATAAAACTGGTATCACTAAATCCTTATCTCCCCAGCCCCTAAAAAAAAAACTTACAATGTAAAAAATGTTTTTGGTTTTAAATAACCTGCAAAAGGTTGATAGAAAAAGAAAAAAAAAATCACTCATTTGATCAATTGTTTGGTTCAATTTCTTTCTTCTTGTAGGTGTTAAAAATGCACAAAATTGCTGCTGAAGATCATCTTGCTAAACAACAAAGTAAAACCAATTCAGAAATAAGTCAAACTCTTAGTACAATCAACTTTTGTGAATAGTATCTATTTGGCTTTTGAAAGTCACTAGTGGGATATAGGACACAGGTTCAAATCTTACTGGGGACTTATTTTTTTTTATTTTTAATCCACCCTGCTTACTAATTATTGTCTAGTGACAATCTGGAAATTTGGTCACAAAGGCAACTGAAATGAAGATTTTAAAAATACACTTCACAAATTAATAATAATTTACAGACCTGTGGTTTTGTACTAAATCCAAAACTTTTTTTTTTTTTTTTTTTTTTTTTTTTTTAAACTATTTCATCTCCAAGCAAAAGGCAATAAAGCCACTAAGACATAAGGGATTTCTAAGTGAAAGAATAAGAAAAAGAAAAACATTATTATTAAGGAACAAGAACAATAAAAGAGGAATCAAGAAGACAGTAGATAACGATTGATATTGCATTTAAAATTTTTGAAGATCAAAATTGGCTGGAAAGCAAGAACAGTTCCACACGTGTGTTTGCATTCAATAAAGAAGAATTGAAATTGATAGAAATAATCTTTGATTGCTTATTGTCAAAGTTGGCCATGACAATAACAGCTTTCATTTGCTACTGCCTGTGTAGGTAGGGTAGTTTACCCATGTGCTCATTAACTCACTCTCTTCTCTGTAAACCATCATGTCATGTTAATGAATATTTCCAATATTCCAGTAGGGGAATATATTTTAAGAACACCAGACAAACATTGATTTGTATGCAAATATTGTATTTTGGCCTTTTTCTATGTATATTATCAGCAAAATAATAAAAATTAAAGCTTGTCCGGTATTAAAAAAAAAAAAAATGTCTTAAAAATGTTTGACAAGTGGGCACTAAAAAGTTAATCAACAATTTCAGCTGCAGTATGAACTTTTTGTCAATTCTGTTTTCCATGCTTATAAATGTTAGACCAAATTCTTATCTCCAAGAAACATTGTTAGGGATAACTACCTTTTAGTATCTGTTTACTTTGAGAAGTTGGGATGATCCTGTCATCCATTTAGGACTAACCAGGTTGAAAGTTTATTCAGAATGATGTCAGTAAATCTTTTTCTTGTATAAATGATTTTGGTATTGGGCAGAAAAGAATATTTGTGTGTGTCTGTTATCCACTGTTTGTTTATTGCCTAATCATTTATAAAAAACAGGTAAATATATTGAAAATAAATATTTGTACTCAGCAGAAGTTGCATCTGCCCTTTGTGCCTATTTACATGTATCAATCACAGCTACCTGCCTGTCAGCCCACTGCACTCATTGGCGACCAACCAAGAATTGCTGCTGACCGTTGTACACTTTTTAGTTTTCAGCTGAATACAAGATTTCACGTTATGCTATCATTGTTAGGTTTATTTCTGTTTAGCTAAAGAAATTTAAAAAAAAAAAAAAAAAAGCAAAAATAAAACACATTTTCATGCTGTTTATTATAAAGTGTGTGTTTTTATATATATATATATATATATATATATATATATATATATATATATAGATATAGATATAGATATGAGAGAGAGAGAGAACAATATTGGTGTGGCAAATGTTTTGGTTGTGACACATTTTATCTGATGAAGTCCTAAAGGGAAAGGCATCACATGAAAGCCTTTTTACCAGTTTGTCATCATATATATATATATATATATATATATATATATATATATATATATATATAATAATGCTTATGTACCTTACTTACTTTAAAACTAGATGAAATATACTGGGTAGGTTATGAGCACTCAGAAAAGCACCTCAGTATGGAAGTACTACTTGTCCTCTACTACACAGCATAGGATACAAACACAAAAAATATACTAACCCCTTGAAAATAGCTAAATGTTAAGAATTAGCCAAAAGTGCTTAAGACAATAAACACTATTAACAGTTTCTACACACTCCATTAAGGACACTAGAAAAACTGAATAAAAATAATAAAAAACCCTGCAAAATTTTCCTTGCCTGTCACATTCAATGAAACATTTATAAAAGAAGGATTTCTGTTTATATATATATATATATATATATATATATATAAATAAAATGTGAATTCTTAAAGATTATATTAAATATGACATATATGTGTAGCTGGTAGATACATTCAATTTACTAAGATTTAGTTTTAATATTTAAAAAATGTCTTTATATAATAACTAATGCTTCCGAAGTAGGATTTATTAAACAGATGCATGAACTTTCATTCACTGGTGATTATATAGTAACACAGATGTCGGTGGTCAAGAATTGATGCTCGTATTACTAACATCACATTATATTCATCAATAAAAAAAATGTTAATTGATGAATGCAGTGTTTTTTATTATTATTATTTATTTTTTTTTGTAAATTAAAAATAATGAAAGCAATATGAATCTAATTGCTATTTCAAAGAATTCAATTTCTAAAATTACCAATTTTCTTTCTTTTTTTTCTCTTTTCTTTTTTCTTTTCTTTTTTCTTTTCTTTTTTCTTTTCTTTTTTCTTTTCTTTTTTCTTTTCTTTTCTCTTTTTTCTTTTCTTTTTTCTTTTCTTTTTTCTTTTCTTTTTCTTTTCTTTTTTTTTTTTTTTTTTTTTTTTTTCTTTTTTTTTTTCTTTTTTTTTTTCTTTTCTTTTCTTTTTTTTTTTCTTTTCTTTTCTTTTTCTTTTCTTTTTTCAAGATTTCTTTGCATAAATGTTTATATAAATCTGACGTTTGCAACATACTTTTTCTTATTGTAGGTGCCTACTTACTAAGAATTTCATCCGGCTTGGAAAATGGTTTGTCCAGCCTTATGACCAAAATTCATCTTCAGATCGGAGGTGAGACCACTTTTCCTATTTTATAAATGTAGATAAAAATTACTAGAAGCCAAACTTTAAAAAAATTAAACAAAAAAAGAAAGATATTTATATTCCCACCAAAGACAGTCTTGATTTTTTTTCTTTTATGCTTTGCTTTGATTGGTCATTTTAGTAGCTAAGCAGTAGCTAAGTACCTCAATTTGGTTATCCAAATGTTTACTGTCTTAAATTTATTCTCATTTTGACGCAATTGATTTGTTCTCTTGATATATGATGAAACTGATAGCTCGATTTACAGATTCTATTTTGTTTGTCATTAACTGTTAGACCATCTTGCACCATTTTATTTTATGCAATTATTAAATTCTTGAGTGTCTTTGGTACACATTTATAGCTTGGTATTTTTGTAGGGAAAAGACAATGCAATTATGTAAAATATTTCTCAGTTTTAAAAAGGATAAAATGTCTTCCGAATGTAAATATAACTGGGAAAAAAAAATAATAAAATTTTGAATAGACATGAAGTAATTATCCTGTAGGTTTGTTTGTTGTACATTTCATTTCAATATATCTATTGATAGTACTTGTCATCTACAGGTTGGTTGAAAAGTAACTGCCCATTTTAAAATACCTATAATTGATTTATTAACTATAGTTTTTACAAGAAATGTATATGAGAGGAAAGTGCTTAGCATGAGGTTTTATCTAAAATTCAATATGTGCAACAGATTTCATTACCAGCTTCTCAGGCCACCCAGGAATTGCACCAACTGATTTCACCAGGAACTCTTGTGGTATGGAAGACATAACTTCTTGTATTCGCACTTCAAGTTCTTCCAAAGTCTTGGTTTGGTATAGTAGACGTGTTCCTTTAACCAACCTCAAAGAAAGAAAGTCGCAGGGTGTTGTCAGGAGTCCTAGCTGGCCACTCATACATAAAATAGAGAGTTACTTTTCAATCACCCTATATATAGTCATTAAGCGTAGTGAAAGATACTCTATATTGTTTACATATTTATTCTGTACTTATATTTACTTATATTAATATTTGTCAGTTTATCTCAATAAGCAATAATTATCTGTCTGGCTAAGCTCCATTTTACAATGCACTACAATCATATCAATAATTTCACTGATAAGCATTACGTTGTAAAATACGGCAAGGGTGTATTGAGGTTGGGGGGGGGTGACACCTATCCACTTTCTTTCCCAACCACTACAGAAATAATAGATAGAGAAAGGAAAGAGGTAGGAGGTAACAAAATTACACTGCGTCAGAATGTGCAACAGCTTTAGGTACAAAATGCACACAGGACTGACTTCACAAGAGACCATGTCTTGTCCACTGCTGTCACTTTTATTGACAGGAGACAGTTGAGAGAAACCTAGACAAGTTGCAGAGAGGCCTGTATCTGAACATGCCAAGCTGTTCCACTGCTAACAGGGAAAACCCGGATGTAACAAGTTTTGACAAGCATGTCTACACATGATGTGGGGTCTCTTTTGTGTCTGTACTGACACATGTTCACCACAGATTTTAATCAAACCATTAATTGCAAGAGAATAAAGAGTATTTAGTTGGTTCCAAACTGTCATTTATTCAGTCTTTCTTATTATTATTTAATGTATTTTCATTATTTTCTCTTGTTTTTTCCAGTTCCCATTTATCATTCTGCTTCCATTTCTTCCTCCATGGAGAAAGTAGTGTGTGTGCCAGTATAGAAATCAAACAGCACCCACCAGTATGGAGATTGACTCCCCAGCACCTCACCCTTGTGCAAGAAAGCACTTCTCCCTTACAAGGTAAGATATTTTTTTTTTTTTTTTTTTTTTTTTTTTAAACCTTTTGCTGCTTTTTTATCTTTAATATTTCTTATTTGCTTTCATGAGGTGATGGCCAGAAAAACATTCTCATGATCTTTCCTTTAATGCCAGGAAGTAGGTGATCATGCCTCTCTACAGGTTCCGTTTCTTTATTATCTGTGAAAGATAGTGAAGTGGTTTCACATTACACTCTCCACAAATTAGCATTCAGAATAGTTGTCTTCCTAGAGTGACTGCCACCCAAGGCTAGAAAGCCCAGTCTATCCTGCTATTTAATCCATGTCTTGGAGACAGGGAACATACAGTTTCTTGCCTTTACCAAAGACATTTGTACAAAAGTGAAGGCATCACACTAGGCTGGAATATAAACTCAGCTTGTCAAATTCACTCTTCACAGGCATATCATGTTGAAACACTGGTTCTGGTCTGTTCACCAAAGTTAAGCAACATCAAACCTGGACAGTACCTAGATGGGTGACCACTTGGGAATACCAGGGTCTGTAAGCTTGAATGTGCAGTTGGTATAAAGGATAATGGCTTGGAATTGGAAAATCAGAGAACCAAGTTCTGATTCTAGTCAACTTTGTTATATTTACATGGGGAACTTGGTATTTAGTATTTATCAATCCACCCACGGGGATCGAATGTGGCACAAGGCCTTTTTAATGTGGGTATCTCTGAGCCCGTAGGCCCAGCCAAAAATAAATAACCATCCAAACCCGCCTCGGCGGGCCAGTTCCGTCAACCTCCCCCAACGAAACCCTACCCTTCGGCGGAGCTTCGTCAGGGTTCCTCTCTGCAAGCAGAGAGTTCGACAGACACCCACCCGGCAGCTCACAAAGCGCAGATACTACACTTTGATCCTAGCCACCGGGTCGAGCGGGTATTATGGATTAATTAGTAAACTTGTATCAGTAAATCATTATCTCCATAAAAAATTCTTGCAATCTGAAAATATTTTCTGGCTTTAAATAATGTGTATAAGGTTGATAAACTGTTAAGAAAGAAAGAAATTCACTTTCCCATCATTACACTATCTCAACATATTCTCATTTAGATTTGCAAAATTGATCATCATCAATCATTTTCTTTAATAAAAAGATAAAATTTTCTTTGAAACAGAACTTTGTATGGAAAAAGAGCTGAAAAGTCCTGTAATGCTTTATGTAAAGAGCAAAAAAAGTGCTGATTCATCTCAAAATATCAAAAAAAAAAATTTTGTTTGCACATTCATTTCATTCAAAGTAGGGCATTTGTAAGTTCTAATCTGGAAACAAATGCTAGCATCTATCTAAGCATTTTTTTTTCTTAAATTGTTTCACCTTAAGCAAGGTGATAATGTCATGCAAGGGGGGTCTACTGGGAGTGGAAGAGAATGAAAGAAACCAAAAATCCACTCCTAAACAGGAAACAAGGGAAAAACCTCTGATCCTGTGAATGAGGCAGTGATAAGCAAAGCTTTCTGTTTCTATTAAATTTACACACACACAAAAAAAAAAAGAGATGTAATTAGCAACATTTCTGGTGATTTTTTAAATGCTACAGTTTTACCAATTTTATAGATGACATTAGTATCTAAAAAAAATAAGACAGTACATTTGTCCAATCAGTGATTTTAGTCGTGATATTGTGAGAATGTCAGTATTTGAGTACTATGGAATACAGTTATGAAGATAATCTCACAAACTATTGCAGATGAGAGGGACACACACACACACACACACACACACACACAGACACACACACACACACACACACAGCTAAAATTTTCAATGTTCAAATTGTCATTTGGAACTGCAAAACTGAATTTGATTAAAGATGTCTGCAAATAAAAATGAGATATTCATAAACGTTACCAACATATTGCCCTTTCAAATGTAATACTTATTTCTCTTTGTTTTTTTCCAGTTATTTTGGCCCCGTATGGTTTGTCTGCTACCCTGACAGGCAATACTTATCGAGATACAGACCAGACTACACGTGTTTTACTGGATGAATGGAGTCGATATTACCCAGGTGAAGTGATTGATGCCAAAGATGCATCGGGTGAGAATCTTAACAAATTACCCAGCATGGTGGAAGTAATTATTGGTGAGTATTCATTTTTTTTTTTTTTTTATCTGTTATCAGATAAACTTTTTCAAGTAATGTTGAAGCTGACATTTTTAGAAGTTAGTTAACCTTAGAAGGAATTCCAAAATATTCATATAATTAAATTGATTTAATATTTGGGGTTTATCTGAAAAATTCCTACTTAGCTAAGAAGTTTACACAAATCACTTATAATTTTGTATTAACATTGTCAATTTTTCTAAAGCTACTTTTTTTTTTTTTTTTTTTTTAGATAGATATTTTCAGTATGTTGCAAGATACATTTAAAAACTTAATATTTAATTGGTTCTGAAATTAAAATTTATCAATTTGTAAACATTTTTTTAGGTTGGTAAATTGATATTCACACAAAAACTTTATAACAAAAGATATTCTACAAAATTATCTTTCTCACTTGGTATTGTTCTCTTGGCAAGATTAAGGCTTTTTTTTATGTTTCTTGGGAATCAGATATGCCAAGTCTATGTATTTTAACAAATTTTTAGTATTTAACTAAATAAGTGTAGTAGATTTCTTACATCTCTGCTGCAACAAAAGGTTAGCTTTTCTGACATGTCAACTCTTGTTGAGTTATTTAATGTTGAATTTTGTCTGGGGGCATCCAGTGAGAATCAAAGCTACTGCTCAGTAGTAATAGTCAACCAGACTAACCTTGTTAACCATTACCCTATGTTGAGACACCCTGCAACAAAATAAAAATTTACATGCTCATAATTTACTGACCTAGAACTTCTGTTGGATGTAAAATATTGTTGTATAAATTATTTATCTCATCTGAAGGCCTTATCATAGAGTCATGATTAGCAAGCATGTCCTGCAAAGCATTGCTGCTATACTGGATACCTCATACTAGTGTCCTTGTGCCAGACTAAATGAATATCAAAATTTACTTATCTCGTCTTGTAAGCCATAAAATTAAATGTTAAAAATCTGTCCATATGTGTAGCATGGAAACTTACCTTGATCCAGAAGTATGAAATTTAGTCTTCAGTTTTTGTATTCCACTTGACTCTTATTGCATCTCTTCATTGAGGTCAATGAGGATAATAAAATGAGCAGCAACTTATATATATATTTTGTGTGTGTGTTAGTAGGAAATAGAATATGAACAAAGGTGGAGAAATGAGACAAAGTGGAAAAGCCATTTAATGACAATGGATTTTGCCCACGTGTGTTAGTTTGTGGTCTTCAGGTTAGACTGGAAGACAAAACTGTAGTTTTTGTATTAAAGCCGTTAATATCTGTTTGCTCGCTTTCCGTCTTCCACATTTTGCTGCTATTGTTATTGCAAAAGAAATACAAGCTAATAATGAGAATAACGGATCTACTTGGAATGGGCTAATTTAAAATGCAACAGATATTAACAGCTTTAATACAATTAAAAAAACAAAAAGAAAAAGTTTTGTCTTTCATTCTGACCTGAAGATGCCAACCTAACATACAAAGGTGAAATGAGTTGGCATTAAAAAACTTTTTCACTTTGTGTGTATGTGTATGTGTATCTCTCTCTCTCTCTCTCACACACCCAGTGTCTTGGCTTGTAATGCAAATGCTGTGTTATGTTTTTATTAATGTGTAGACTAAATACGTGTCCTAATTTGTATACATAGTCCCAAAATATGTCCATATAAAATGGTATCATTTCTATGTTGCTCATCTAAACTAGATGAGTAACAAAAATACTACATATTATAGCAGTGATCACAGCCTTTTTTTTATTATAGTTTTAATTTAAATATCTTTTTAGAATTTTTAATTTTAGTTTTAATTGCAATAGCAAAAAGTTAATCATTAAAAAAATATAAAATTACTTTTGCAGACTTAAAGCAGGTTGTTAATGTTAATTTTTGTCATCCAAAATTAATTCTGATTATGTCATGATTGATGCCTGCTGACAAAAATTTCACTTAAATCTTCCAAAAATAAAGTAGCTGTTTTAGAAATATAGGATTTGATGAAAATTAGCCATTGACTATTTGACTAGGTTTAAAAAAAGAAAAAAAGACTTTTTTCTTTACTTTAATTTTTTTTAAAGGCCTGGGGCCACTCAAGGTAGAGGGTTATGTTTGGAGGTCATTTATGTGTATAGGAGTAACCTTAACCCTGGCCTTCAACAGGTTAGAAATGTAGTGATCAGGGAAACATGCTGTTGGGAGTTGGTTTCACAGAGCAGTGGTTCGTGGGAAGAAGTTACTCAAGTGGAACTTCTCACTGATGGGATATGGAGGGAATGTGGGTGGTTTGCTACTATAAGTGGTATGGCACGTTCTTGCTGTGAAGGTTTGCATTGGCAGGACCGGGGAATGTAGTTCATCTGAACACTTTCCATGGAAATAGCAATAGAGCAACAAGAGGTTTGCTGCATCCCGTTGTAGGAGAGAGGTTGAGGGGTGGAGAATAGTTCATCACCCACTAGGGCTTAGAGACACTTTTGAACTCTATCAAGGCTGGAGTGTGAGGTCTAGGCAGCTCCTATCCAAATATAACAGTACTTCATTTTTGGCCTGACCTGGCTCTTGTGAAGTTAGAGGATAGCATGAGGAATCAGGTACTTACTGGAGCGGTACAGAGAGCTGACCATTTTACCTGCATCCTTAATAGTGAAAAATTGTTTGCAACAAGAATTTGTTCTCTCTTAGTTTAATTCAAAGATCAAGTGAATATTCAAGCACATTTAATGAAAAACCATTTAAATTTATAACCATAAACCTGATATTACCCACAATGGCAAGCATATATTCACAATATTAAAACACTGACATATGATAGGCATCACTTTAGGTTTGTTTTTTGTTTTTAAATTACTGGATAATCTCTTAGCAATTTTTTCCTGATAAATATTATTTATATAAGTATACAATATATTTGTAAATACATTGCATTGTTTTCTCATTTTGTTGGAAAAATAAATCTAAGTAGAATTAACTTTCAGGTTTTTTTGGGTTTTTTTTGTGAAATAATTTCTAATTGTGATACAATTTATTTTTTATCAATTTCAAATTTGGTATGAATACCCAATAGGAAAAAAAAAATTAAATTAAATTCAAACAATCTGAATAACTTTCGTAGTGTTGAAACAAATATGTGTTGAATTTATTGCTATAATGATAACAACTTAATAGAATTATCCATTTATTTATTTCCCTATCAACACCTTATTTGCTAGGGTGACAAATAAAATCAATGAGTATTTTTGTTTCTTTGGTAAATTTTTACTGTGACACCCACCTCCCTTATTGATCTAATGCACATGATCAATTTTGTTCTAACTTCATTAACATTGACCAGTTGACTATTTAAAGAGTGGTTCAGATCATGCTGGAGAGCGCAAATTTTTCTTTAAACATTTTAATACGGAAAGAAGTAAAGATAAAAATGCATTCTATATTCTCTTTATAGTGTGTATGTGTTTTGCTAAATTCAAATGACAAGGTCTTGAATTTAACAAAACTTGTTTAAATGAATTCTTGCTGCTTAAGTATACCTTTTATTTATATATGTCAATCGCTATCTATTGTCCTCCAGATTTCTCTTTAGTTCTCACTCCTTAGCAATGTTCCTGTTTCAAAATCTTGCACACCCAGTAACACCTGGTGTCTCAGTGACTTTACTGCCTTGTATGGGAGTAAACTATATATTGTTAAATATAACATACAATGAATGTCTATTATGTTAAATTTAAATGTTATTGTTTAATTTTGGATATTTTTAATAAAAAATATCTCCAAATGTTGGACAATTTTTGTCTTTATCTTCACCTGAAATTAAAGCAACCATATGAAGTTTAGAACGGCTCATGATCAAACATAAGACATTCATTGTCTGTTATATTTAACAATATATGTTTAATTAATGATCTGTTGTCCCAATATATATATATATATATATATATATATATATATATATATATATAGGCAGCAATCCTTCTTTCCTGCACATTTCATTGAATACGACAGACAAGGTGCTTTTATTTAGTTTTTTATATAATTTCTCATGCGATCTAATAATTTTTCCTTTTCGGATGGTAAATTATATAAAAACTGTCTGAATGTTCTTTTTATCTGAGCACTTTTGGCTATACATTTAGCCATTTTCAAGGATTAAATATATAATATACAAACCAGATTTCATGATGTGAAGCGATCATCAGGCATTTGATTTAAGAAACCATATTTGTTCACCTGTAACCATCTACAAACACATACTATTTACTGATCAGGGTGTAGCTGATACAGAAAATCATTTTCATTCTTCTGCTTAGAGATTACTCTAGGTCTTTTATTCATTTAAACTGCTCTAATCAGGTAATGCAACTATGCTTAATTCATCTTCAAAGCTTAATCTTTTTGACTCCTCCATGCAAGCAAACCAAACGTTCTTTTCACCTCAGGTGTACATTCACATTTATCCTTATGTTCACACATATGCCTTGACAGAGTTGTACTGTTTTCATATCACTTCCTCTTAAAAATAGGTCTTATGATATGAAAATCTTAGCTTCCATGGTCTCTCAGTAACTCCAACATATACCATACTAAGTGCACTGTAACAGTAGGTTGGTATGCAACATTTTGCATCAAATAATCAAACTCACCCAAAAATGGCTTTCTCTACTCTTACAGGGGATGGGGTTATTAAAATTACAGTTATAATTACCATACTTAGCTTTCAGCTTTTTATTCTGTTCTTTCACTCAATGAAGCATGTTATTCATGCAACAATAAGCTCCTGATAAATATCACATGAAGTTCTTGGGGTTTAGAGAAATTCTTATTAATTAAATTAATAAACATCTTCCACTTCGGTATTTTTACAGCCTTGTGAAATGAAGGATGGCAATTGGGGGAGCAACCAGTTATGTTATGTTCTCTATGAGACTTCATTCTTGTTTGCCTTGCTCGGAATTCAAATCATATTAGATGCCACTCTTTTCCAATGTCACCATATATATATATATATATAATGTTGAAATTGTAGGG